GACCTGGTCACCTGACCTAAGCACAGTACATTTGGTTTTGGAGGAGTTTGACCAAAGTGAAGGAAAAGCATCCAATGAGAGCTCAGCATATGTGGGAGCTCCTTCAGGACAGCTGGGAGAGCATCCCAGGAGGTCACCTCAGGGAACTGGCATAGAGGAGACCGTAGGGTCAGCCAGTCCCTGGAGCAATTGGGGTTAAGTTAAAAATTTGAATACAACTTTAGGTTATTTGCTTACAGGAAAATCCATTTCAGAGAAATAGGTGGGGGGGGGTGCAGATTCCTGTGCTTCTAGGAAAAACACAGACACCTGATCACAGAGCCTCACTATATTCATTTTTTTGTTATAAAGGTGCAAGAGAATCATAAATAAAGAATGTTGGACAATTCACTCCACTTTTTACATCCATTACTGAGGGAGTGATTAGAAACATAGAAAAAGAAAAAATAGAATATGAAGTTTCTGTGTAGCACTGAGGGAAAATGAGAATTTAATTAATTAGGTGAAAAATTAGGTTTAGAATTTGATAACGTGTGACCAAATGGTGAAGCAGCTGGAAGCCTAAAGTCTCGTGTTAATTTTTATTAATGCGGATAGAGGCGGATAGAGGCTGATAGAGGCAGATAGAGGTGGATAGAGGCTGCCTGAAAGCACACACTGACTGAATCTGTAAGCAGCAGATACTTCAGGTGTCTCATAAAGAAAAGGAGCCTCGTCATTTCTGGCGTCTCAGAGAAACCAGCAGCGAAAAACAGGAGAGGAAACTCCATCAGTCAGCATGTGAAGCCAGAAGCTCAAGGCTGCCCAGGGCTACATTAGATGCTTTTATCTCCAGGAGAGCTTAGGACCTCTCAGGAGGACGCAGCTCTGTAACACGATCCGATACTTTGTGTCAAGTCTGCTCTGAACATCCCACCTTTGGGATCGAGACCAAGGAACGGCAGACAAGCTGTTTAACTCCTTCACCTTTGACCAGCAGATTTCTAAAAGATATCTACTCTCAGGGCCTACACTATATGGACAAAAGTATCGGGACACACCTCTTAATCAGTGAATTCAGGTGTTTCATTCAGACCCATTGCCACAGGTGTATAAAATCAAACACCCAACCATCCAGTCAGGTTTACAAGCGTTTGTGGAAGAATGGGTCCTTCTGAAGCGCTAAGTGAATTCAAGTGTGATACATCGAACACCTTTGGGATGAATTAGAACGACAGAGATTGCGAGCCAGTACTTCATGTACAACATCAGTGCCTGACTTCACAAATGATCTTCTGGATGAATGGGCATAAATTCCCACAGACACACTCCATAATCTTGTGGAAAGCCTCCCCAGAAGAGTGGCAGCTGTTGTAGCTGCAAAAGGGGGGAACCAACTCCATATTGCTGCCTATGGATTTAGAATGGGATCTTCCTGTAGATGTAATGGCCAGGTGTCCCAATACTTGTCTTATAGAGAATATTACTTTTCCCCCACATGACTGCTGTTTTTCTGGGGATCAGGGAATCTTTTTCAGTTTTCCACAGTAATAGTTTTGGGGAAGGAAAAAAAAAAACAAACAAAAAACCACAAGTCTAGACTTTGTGGACATTTGAAAGCCTGCAAGGTCTTTGCTGTACAATCAAAGGGCAAAGCGGGGTCAACGAGTCTGAGCAGACGGGGGGGGTAGAACATGGAAAACCCTTTTCGCACGTAGACGCCCCACCCTTTACACCATGAGTGACACTGTACATTTCAGAGCGAGTGTCAAACCACAGACTCTTTCTGACCGAAGTTACGCACGGCCTTACCCCTGGCGCTCTAACACCGTGCGTAACCCACAGCTGCGTACATCGTACATACGTACTAAATTTATACTTATTTTTTCATTTCTGCTTAACCTCCTTCGCGCAGCTGTAAGCAAATCAATTTCCCTCCCCGGGTCAATTGAGTATACAAATCTGTATGTCTTTCTCTAAATCAGTGTTTCTCAAACCAGTCCCCCCCCCCCCACCACGACAGTCTCTCCCAAATCCCTGAAAGTTGGGAGGGAGCAAAAACAAGGACCGTCTTAGGATCCCTGAGGACTAGTCTGAGTAACACTGCTCTATATTTTAGCAAACACACACAAGCATACACGGGCAGGAACTGTGGATACGGCTGTACTTTTCCAGCATTAAGCTCTAGAAAGTAATAGGGAGGAAAATAATGACATAAATAAAGCTGGTTAAAGCTCATTAACTAAAACAAATGCCATTTAAGGATTATTAATTCATAATCACTAACCATCCGAGCTTCTGTCCCACTCCCTTGGTGGTTCATTGCTTTTAAAGCCTGGAGGATCAAAGTTCTGGTCTGAGCAAAACAGACCTAAAATCAGGCAATCAAGCGAACAGTAAAAAGAAAGAAAGAGCCGCAGGGACGCGTGACAGTGGCAGAGCGACAGCGGCGTGTGGAGCTGAAAGGGGGGCGGGGGGCGGGGGGCAAGGCCCGCCGGAGCACACAGATCTACATGCATGTTTCCTGCCACCCCGACAGCGAAGGCAGACCCAGATCCTGGGTGTCTCACAGCTGTGCTCCAGTCCAACTCCCCTATAGCACTCACTGCTGCTGCCGCCTCCGCTCCCACTCTCTGGCGCACTGGGAAAACATGACCGGGAATATCGGCCCAGGAGCGGAACGGCGAGGCTGGGGGGGGGGGGGTCCAGGCCGTAATCCACTGGTACTATGGGGAAGGCCCCAGTGACCCAAATAAGAGCAGAAACACACCTGCCAGTCTGCCCGTTATTACCACAGAGCCACAGGGCTCCGCTTCAGGCAGACACACACAGCGCACACACACACAGGGCACGCGGGCACACACACACACGGCACACACACAGGGCACGGGCACACACACACACGGCACACACACAGGGCACAGGCACACACACACAGGACACACACACACACATGGGCACACACACACACAGGACACACACACACATGGGCACACACACACACAGGACACACACACACAGGGCACGTGCACACACATGGGCACACACACACATGGGCACACACACACACAGGACACACACAGGGCACACACACACACACGGGCACACACACACACACAGGCACACACACACGGGCACACACACACTGCCACAGGGCACACACACACGGGCACACACACACTGCCACAGGA